AGCTGCTACTACGCTCTACTAACTGAAGATATTCTACGATGGACCAGATAAATAAATAAAATAGTTTAAATTAGAATTTTTTTAATAAAAATGTATTCAAGGACTATAAAAAATAAACATTTTCAGGAAACGACAATAACAGTCATCACAAATATTTCCTGACTAAAGTAAGTGTAATATATAATATCCTGGTGGCCCGGAGGTTAAGGCTCCCGTTTCTTAGGGTGGGGCCAAGTAATATGTGCTTTCTATGAATATTTAGACACCGTTGACATACGGAAACATCGAAAGGAAACCTGCACGTCGATTCTATAAAATTTGTTTGATTTTGAGTCGTGTTCGAGTGCGAAGTGAGCGTCGAAGTGACGGGGAAATTAAATTTTAGAATGCCACTTTTAACGTCATTTCATACTTTATCTTTCAAAATGATGCTGTCAATTTAGTTCAACTCGCAAGTGTAGCGTTAGTGTTCTACTACTCACGGCGGATTCAGATTCGAAGTTTAGAATGAAGTCTTACAGAATCACACTGCTGGACTAATAATTTCGAATTATAAGTTTCTAAATCGTTAATCCGCCTTTTGCAAAAGTGGTGATTAATGCTCAAAGCTACTCCGTATGAGAAGAGGCCTTTGCTCAGCAATCGGCAGCAATATTCTGATGATGTGTAATATTGATTTAACTGATAGATATTCTGTACATATTAATCTTCATCAGCTTACAACTCACGTCTTATCTGTGACAGCTGTGAGCCTGTTATCAGTCTTACCGTTGTCAATGTCTGCTTACCACGCTGGCTTAAGGCAGATTAATGAAATCCAATGTATAATTTGAAATATTTATTATATTTAAAACCTCACTGAAGCAGGTTTTAAACAACTCGACCGGAGCACGGCCTTACAGAAAACCGGCGTGAAACAACCACAGCGTTTTGTTTCGCCGTGCCCAATCCTTAAATATCCGAAACCTTTAGCTCTAAGAGGCCGGCAACGCACTCGTTGCTCCTTTGGGCGTTGCAGGTGTCCATGGGCGGCGCTGCTTACCATCAGGTAATCCGACTGCTCGTTTGCCGACCTATACCATAAAAGAGGTACCTTAACTTTAACAAAATAAGTTCGATGACGCGTTAGAAAATGCCAAATTAAAAGTATATTTATATACCCTTAGTATAAGTACTATTGGCAACTATGAGGCATACTAAATTTATAATAACACTTACCTACTCGGGTGAAAGAGTAAATTATTTTCTCAGTTCATTAAAATGAGTAATTTGTTATTTTCAATAAAAATTTGAAGTATGTATCTTTAACTTTGTTTAAAGAAGGTTTGGACTAAAGATTGTGATTTGATCCTACTAATTTTATAAATGTAAAAGTTTGTGAGAATGTATGTACATATGTATGGATGTATGTTTGTTGTTCTGTCACGCAAAAACGGCTTTAGTTGTTATCAATAAATAAAACATTTGTCCATCACACTATACTTACAAGAAATAGTATCTGTTACTGAGCTTTATGTTACTGCATCATTGTCCACAGATTAACATTTTATAGAAGTCTCATAGTCAAATCAACAACCTCAGCTTTAAAACAACACAAAACGACGTAACATGTCCAACAGTAAGGAAAAATCAATTTACATTCCTCCTCAATTTCGAGAAAGGTTTATTACCAAGTAGTCCATTTTCCGGAACTCCTACGCAATAACTGTCTATGTTCGTCATTGTCACGTTGGGTTCAAACTTTGCAAAGTAAGAGAGGTCACGAAGTTTAGCACCAGGGTTGGTCCTTCGTAATTTTTTGGTCCTTTTACGCCCTTTAGCTTAAGATTTGTTAGCGCATAAAATAGTTTCAGCAAAAAGGGTGGCCGTATGTAAGTGTTGGAAATTTATTGTCAAATAATGTGATTGCTAAAAATGGTCTGTTCTTTTATGTTTTTCATATTTTGTCGTACCTATCCGTAAGTAGTCAGTAAGATATTGTTAAACAATCAATAGGTATGGCACTGAATTACTTTCTACTGCTTTAATTGTATATTGACTAAAATATTTACTTATGCTGTACTGTATAGGATTACTTTGCTTGAAACTAATACCTCATCTTTCGTCGCCTTCAAAAGCAAAACATTTATGAAACAATTTACAACTATTCCATTTCTGTACAGTAATACCTACTCTAGATCTATGGTAGTAGGGTCCATCCGTTCCAATCTGGATTGTTGGTGCAAGCACAGCACTTAATGTATCGCGTTCCCGACTCGGTGAAAGAAAAGGAGCAGGGTATTACCTATTTTTAGTAAGAGACTGATGCTCAAACTTGTTCCAACCAGGGCGGCATAAGTCATTAGATGTAATTCCCCCTCAACAAAAAAAAATATTTTACCATTTATTTATTTTACCCCTTATTTTACAAGGTACGGTGCCTACTCGTAACTTGTTAAAAGCAGTTTGTAAAAAGAAGATGTCACATTGTATAATTCCTCTGCACAAACATTTGGAGATAAAAACCCTGGTTGCACTACAAGTAAAGCAGAACTGCGGTGGGTTAACCACCAGCCTATAGCATACTGCAAAGCAAAGGCCACTCCTCATATGAATATGGTTAGAACATTAATGACCACGCTTGGTTAAGATGGATTGATAATTCCAAACTTATAATTAGAAATGGTTAGATCAGGTTTCCTCACGACCTTTTCTTTCACATGGCATTATCAGTGATGTTTACACAATATTATTATTAGAAAGTAGATAAAAGAAACATCGGTTTCCATCGATTTATAACAACATTCCTGGAGTAAGAAGAAATCCAACCCCTTCCCAATTCCTAGACCTCCGAAACCTTAATTCTCAAAAGTTCTAATTCGTTCTCCTTCACTTCTAATTCCTCTGTTGCAGCGTGTTTCTCGCCTATTGCTTACCATCAGGTAATCCGGAAGCTCGATAACCAACCAATAAAATAAAAATAAAACCGGAATATAAGAGATCTTACTTGCGATTCTGTCCCGTGACTAATTTTAATAGGTGCGATAAAATGTAACGCGGATCATAGCCGCCATAGTGCGTCCGCGGCCTAAAAGGCATGACGTTGTATCATTCGTATCACTTTCTTCTGTTTTATCATATGACATGATAAAATCACATGAAGTTAGTTATTTTTACGACAACTGATAAAAGCATTATAGAGTTTATTTCAAGCAGCCATTACTTAAATATTTGCTGACAGTTTCATTCACAGAGACAACCACGCGATCTGATCATGAATAAAATTTCAATTTTATTTGAAAGTATGTACATTTGTACTTCGTTACGACATACCGAAATATTGGATGCAAATAAGGCAGACATTTCATACTTTCTTCTGGCCTTTACCCAAGTAGGTTTAGGTTGGGGATCCAATTTCGTAAAGCACGGTTTTACGTAAAGAATTTTTTAACATTTTGGTTTTTATCTGATAGGTTGCATTGCCGACCTTTTGGGGATTTGAATTTAGGAATGGGGAAGAGAAAGAAGGATTGGGACTCCGGTAATCTCACTCGCGCGACAAAAAACAACGCCAGGATATTTCACACCAGGTCTCTGTGAGACCGTGGTATGACTCCGGTCGAGCCGACCTGAGCCGACCCATCCGTGCATGGCTCCCCCACACACAAATAAACCAATGATCTTTAATTACTTCATGTTAACACTCGGTATACTGTTTTTATCCCAAAAATTAAATTATATCAGTCCAAATATAAGGTCAGCAAAATTGACACAACAAATACTTAGTCGATTGAAAAAAAGTAGGTACTCTAGTCAATCAAAATATCAAACCTGAATCTACTTCTTCGGCAGTCGTAGAAGTTGTAAACTTAATTTTAATACTATTTAGTACTTACTACTTGTGACTTATGAATATGGGCCTCTAGCATAGCTTGAAACTATTTGAGTATCTCGTCAAATTATTACGCCGAAAACATAATAATTAATTTAGAATGTCTCACGAAAGTTATAATAAGAATAAGATTCAAAATACAAAATCTGACTCAATGGCTTCAACTTAAACTAAAGATATATCTTGTTTTGTAATAAAGGGGTTTGATGTTCTCTGGGGCTCTTACCGCTTGGTAGTCACACAGGTGATACTCGACCACCAAAGTTATCAGTCAGCCAAGCCTACGAAAATTGCCTAACGTTGTTCTGAACATACTGTTAATTAAAATTATAACAGTCGGTAAATAAAGTTATCTTATATCGTTATATAATAATGTACATATTACTGCAGTTTTCATTGCCAACTTTATTTGATTAAACACACGACAATGAAAATGGTCGGTAGTATATCAGTAACAATACTTCTGTTTGTTTTTATGTAGGTAACTAGGTATAGTCGTAGTGAGGTTTACAGCCCATATTCGCCAGGGTTAGTGTATCTTCCCAACAGTGAAATGAATTTTCACATCGGTCAAGTAGTTTTGGAGCCTTTTTAATCCTACTTAATAAATTAACAGACAAAACCATTGCTCTTTATAATATTATAACATTAACCTTTAGATTGAAATGCAAATATATACAGTAAGTACAGCTTTAACTATACGATATTTTATACCATATTTTGGTCTTAATGAACTAAAAGGAAAAAACTTACTAAAATTATTAATTGCAAGCTTTTTACGTTCACGTTCGGCATAGATGGGTCGGATTGACTGGAGAACAACAATTGAGTTGTATTTCTGCAACGAAAGAGGTTACTGGAGGTCCAATTCCTCACTTGTGCCCGATACCTATCCTGTCGAGGGTCGGCAACGCAGATGCAATTTTTTATGTTGGGCAGCGCCGATTGCATTGCTAAAAAGCATGACTTTTAGCAGTTTTCCTCATATTATATTTCGGACAAAAAAAAAATAGGGAACACACAAATAGTAAAATTCAATAAGCAACGCCAAATGCTTCAACTAGTAATGAAACAAGAAGATAAAAAGACATCTCCGTTTACATCTTAATGACACTTTACCTTACGAATTATGTCAGACGAACCGTTGCAGTACTTCCCTCCAGAGAAATGGGGGGACCTTCAGAGTGTCTTCAGGAAAGACTGGACTAGAGGAGTGTCTGCTTATGCGGTATTAGACACTCAAAGACGATGGCTGGCCAAAGGGATGGACTCAAATTTAAAAATTTATTGCCCTTATGGTAATATTCACAATGGAATGGTTGCGTTCAATGAAAAGGTAGGTGAAGTGTTTCATCATTATTAAAACGCCATACACAAATATAGCCAAGAACTACGTTTTCATTTCGTTTATTTATGTGTGAGCCTTGTGAGCGAGGTTACTGGAGGCCTTTTGGCCTGAAACTCCCCTAATCTCTTCCCAATCCCCAAATCTCCGAAACTCTAATCCCTAAAAGTCTGGGCATGCATTTGTATAATACCTCTGGTATTTAGGGTGTCCATAGGCGGCGTCAGCAGCATGCTTACTATCCGGCAAGCCACCTGTGTTTTTCCCTCAAAAAATAAGTACAAGGATGGTTATAGTGTGACTCAGTTCTTGCAAAACTCGTAACGATTGTATTTTATGGTTTCAAGTTATATATATTGGAAACACTAGTTAATCAAGATCTCGCATTCAATTATCTTTGCGATAATTCAACAGTCAGTGTGTACTGGAAGAACACAGCTTTAAGTCTAGCCTTGTATACCCTGCCACCTAGCGATATTCATACGAACTAAACTGTTTAATAGTTTTCGAAGCGTTACGAGCTCGTATCTAGATGGCGCTGAGTTTCAAGTACGTAACGATGTACGATTTTTTCAAAATAAATGACAATCATTGTTTACTTTTTTATATTAGTTATATAAGGAACAGGAATATAATTATTTGTTTTTTTTTGAGGAATACCTGTGGAAAATTATAGTACAGGACGAAACACCTTAAGGTTATATAATAATAAAAAAATATGATATCTAATACTTAGTATTTCATTTTGTTCACAGGATTTATATTACGAAATAATAATTCAGTGTCCGAGTGATGATATGAACAATCTAGCAACTGCATTGAGAACAACCAAACTGATTGATTGGAATAAATCCGTCAAGGTACCGTTCGCAACTCGCAATGTGATCGACGCCCTAGATGAAATCATGGATGATGTTAATGTAGAGGTGGAAGAAGTGTTTCCCTACGATACTTATATTTTGGACACGAATAAATTATATAAAGATATTAGGTAAGTATATTTCGGGCTAGACAGAGCTATTCATGCCTTTATTAGATAGCATGCAAAGGTACGTGTTAAAATTTATTTGATACTAACTTCTGTCGCGCGGTTTCATTTGCTGCTCTGCTTCTACAAATTGTAGCGTGATGTTTATATATAGCCTAAATCCTTCCTCGATAAATGTATTAGGTATCAAACACAAATAACATTATCCAATTCGAACCAATAGTTCTGGAGATTAGCGCGTTCAACTAAACAAACAAACTCTCCAGCTTTATAATATTACAGAATATATTACCTCTTTAGATATTTTTAACTTTTCTTATAAATATTCCAAAGCTTTTACGTCGATTACGTCATTTGATTAACAATATTTCAGTCAAATATTGTAAAACGGGCATTGTAGCGAACATTTTTCTCCAACCATGACCCGAGACCCGTTTGAAATACTTTATGTAGAACCCATTACATAATTATGTAGCAGATATCATCTCGGTGCCAAAGTTCATTAAGATCCCGTCTCCAGTTTTACGTGATGCACTGCCCTTTATCTTGGATACCTACCTTTATCATGTTGTTATTCATCCTCATTGTTATTCCAGACTACCAGATGGCGTTATCTTCAAGCACTTGACGACAGAACATGTAAACCTCATAGACTCCACATGGCCTTACCGCTATCCCTCATCGGACGCATATTTCGAATTCCTCATAAAACTAAAGTACGGTTATGGGTTGTACATGAACAACTCCTTAATAACTTGGGTCCTGGTCTCTGAAGCCGGTACGTTGTTACACTTGTACACTGTCGAAGAACATAGAAGGAAAGGCTATGCTGAGGTCCTATTGAAACTGGTCAGCAATGCTTTGTTAGCTGATGGAAGAGTCGTCATTGCTTATTGTGTTCCTGACAATTATAATGCGAGCAAACTGTATGTTAAGTCAGGTTTTGTTACTGCTGACGACGTTACCTGGGTTTATTTAAGAAGCAAATAAATATTCATTTTTTTGAATTGACTTTTGTTTTCATTTTGGCGTCTATCTTTTTTACATTCATCATCATCATCGTCATCAGCTGCCTGATTCCATCTACTGCTGGATATAAGGCTCTCCATTTCACATTATAATTCAGCAAAGAATACACTCAAGTATACAAAAAGAAATCTTTATCTTCTGAAGTGTTTTTATGAAGTTAAATGTTATAAAACGGTAAACAGTGCAGCGAATCAAAATTACTTATTTAGAGCCTTTAAATACACCACTATCAGAATGAAGATTTTACTCCATGAAAAAAAAACATTTGTACTTAATAGTTTATTTGCTTGGTTATTAACACACATTTTGAAATAATTTGCAAGCAATAGTTTTACAAATCTACCTACCTATTTGTCGTAAATAGACCCAACATAATCAGGGTGTGCCACAAATGTCTGCCTATAACATGGGTCATCCCTGTAGACCACAGCCGTCATTTTGGAAAGGTCTCGAGCCCCTACATCAATGGATCATTTGTTGACCGCGGCAGAATAACTTTAGTGCCAAGGATTGTAAATTATTTAACAGTGTTATTGTTACTCACTATGCGATCTCTTGTTCGATTTTCAGATTGAGGAATGTTTTTTTTTCGCCCTATGCAGTGAGTAAATAGGTCTTTCTCTTACTCGCTAAAAACCACTCCGTTACTACTCCTGCTCCGAGTTGGGGCCTTGAGATTGATTTACTACTGAAACAGTACTAGATAATAATGTTGGGTACTTACTTACCCGACCGTCATCTTGGTGACTTGAAAGTGTATGTTCATAAGTCACTTGCTTTTCATGTATTAGGATGGATGGCGGTTTGAAACCAATGTAACGTTTTCTGAGATAATAATATTATGTTTTTACGTGATTCGTGAGTTTTTTTTATGAAAAAAAGTTGGCAATACGACGGATTACCTGACGGTAAGCAATCGATGCCGCCCATGTACAACTGCAATACCAAAGGAGTTACGTTATCGGACTTTTGGGTATGAGGTTTTCGGATATTTAAGGATTGAGCCTCCAGTAAACTCACTCACGCGGCGAAACACAACGCTATAGTTACTCGCAGGTTTTCTGTGAGGCCGTGGTACCACTCCGGTCGAGCCGACCCATATTGAAGCTTGCACACTACAATTCCTATAATTTAATGATGACTGAGCCGACCAAAGGTTTCAATATGTGTTTTCATAACAAATAAATGTCATTTTTATTCTTATTCTTAAAAATCATACTAAAGGTTATAACGTTATCTTGCTGCCTCTGAACAGAGTGAATTTAAATGTCATACCAGGTCATACCCGTATTTTTATGAAATTGGTCAGCAATCCATCAGACAGATTCCAACGTCATCCCTACCTAACGCCATAGAAGTTGTTATAAATGCATTGCTGATTTTTTGTGAGTTTGAGGATTAGGATTATGTGGAAGATAACCTTAATCACATGGCGAAACACAACGCTAGCATTGTTCCACTTTGATATTCTGTGACGCCGTGGTTTTACTTCAGTGGCCTATTCGTGCCAGTGCCAAAGCATGGTTCTCGCTTAATTATTCATACTAAATAACTGTGCAGACTGTATGATAACGGCCATAATAATACTGATATTGTAATTTATTTAAATGGTATTTAAATTATCTATGACGAATGACAGTAAAGGTCGTTTATCTTATCGTGTTAGTGCGATTGTTTAAGTACCTACCACATCATGCTGGCGTTGGTATTCAAGTCATTGCACTAATCTACTTAGATGTCCTTGTTACCAGTTACACCGTGTGCAGTATCTACATATATACGTATATGTAAAATTAAACATCATTTCTTTATGTCCGTCTCAAAGTTATTCGTCACCAAACATAAAATAACCTCAAAATTAGTAAATCGAATAAATCGTGATTATTCAGGGTTTTTTTGGAAACATGTGATAGTACTTCTACCATAAATATTCTAGTTAACAAAAATTTTAAGATCGCTCAAAAGATCTTTGAAATCTATTTCTTTATAAGTTTCGTCAGACATTAATAATTCACTATTTTGACTAGGAACTCGACTAATTTCAAGCCACGCTAAGAGCTCATACTCTTGAGCAAAATTTTGCGACTTGTTGATTTCCTCGTCGAACAGTTTCGTGAGTAGCCGTCAAACGTAAAAATTGATTTTTTAACACCTTTGGGTTAACTCAATTTAGATATATCATAAACGAAACACATCCAATGTTGCTCAAAACCCTTCCTCTTTGTCATAATCATCGGAGTTGGTTCGCCCGGAGGATCACAATTAGATCACCGACAATTCTCGTCTTTCGAGCAAACAAAACTACTATACTTGCGTGGCATTACCTGGCGTGGCGAGCAAATCTGGCTGTAAACCAACTCAAAGTTCATAATAAAAATCCAGTTTGGATGCAAATAAAATAAGTAACACCGAGCACAACAACTAGTATTACATTGAGAGCAATAAACGCTCAGATAAAAGGACAACTTTATTTATAGTGCACCAACAGTTGCACACGAATAATGTCACAAGAACCATTGCAGTATTTGCCTCCGGAGAGATGGGACGAACTTTTAAGTGTCTTCAGAAAAGACTGGCCAAGAGGAGTCTCTGGATATACAGTGTTAGATAATCAAAAACGATGGATGGCCAAAGGAATTGAATACGACATGCGAATCTATTGCCCTTTTGGTGAGGTTCAAAATGGAATGGTGGCGTTGAATGAGAAGGTAACGCGCTGTTTTGTTTTTATAGTGGACAATTTGTGGTCAGTGTTTCTGTGATGTGATTATTTTAATTGTAATTTTAGCTTGTGAACTTGATAATAAGGTCAATAATTGGATTTGTACTGTGCATGAATTAAATACTGTCCTTTCTTAAAATAAAGTTACTTGGAACTAATAAAACAATCCTTCTCGCCCCAAACCTCAATCCCCAAAGGCTGTTTTTAAATTCTTAATAACTCACAAAAAGCCGGCAATGCACTTGTAACTCCTGTGGTATTGATTACGAATGTCTATAAAGACCGCTGACTACTTAACATCAGGTGACCCGAATGCTAGTTTGCCCTTAAAAAATAGTCAATCTTTGCTTTTCTATTTGCAGTATTCATTCTACGAAGTAATAATTCAATGCCCTAATGATGATACGAGAAAATTAGCAATGGCATTGAGAACAACAAAAGTAATAGACTGGACACGACCTATCAAGGTACCGTTTGCTCCATACAATATCATCAATATGCTTAAGGAAATCGTTGATGATGTTAACGTACAGATCGAACTGATATTGCCTTCAGATACATTCATGTTGGATACTCAAGCCTTGTATGACGTCAGGTAAGAATTTAGAATTTTGAACTTTGATTTGTGAAATGTAAAATATAAATTTAAATGTAGATATTAATTTTATTCGTTTACCAGATTATAGGCACTATTTAGGTAGTACTACGGAGTAAACTAAATAAATAAATTTGAACTGTTTAAGAAATACATGTTTAGGGTAAATTTTTGAATGGTAAGATAAAAGTTATCTGGGGAATAATTATGATGCTGTCGCGTTAGAATGTTTTTATAAGACAATGACAGCAATAACTCAAATAACATTTATCTGACTATTGAAAATCAGCTCTTAGTAAAGTTACTAAGCACCAAGTGCCAATCAAAAGTATATAAAGTACACCTAATTGTTCTACTTAATATAAAACTATAAAAAGTGTTATTATTATAAACCTGTATATGTATTTTTCTACTTTAGTGGATAGACGCAGATGATTTGCATATTTCCTTTTCATTACTATTCTAATGCTCATATGAAACCCAAATTAAAGTAGACATGATTTAAAAAACACCAAATGAAGTAAGAAAATCACTCGCATAATAACACCTGTCCAATTTCAGCTTACCCGAAGGCATCAGTCTGAAACTCCTGACAAATGAATATCTGGACCTGGTGGACTCAACGTGGCCTCATCGCTACTCTACGTCAGCATCTTACTTCGAACTTCTCATTAACTTGAAGTGTGGTTATGGTCTTTTTGCGGACAAGACTTTACTAGCCTGGGTCCTTATTAACGAATCAGGAAACTTGTTACACTTATACACAGCTGAAGGTCATAGGCAGAAGGGCTATGCTGAACTGCTTTTGAAGTCAGTAAGTAATGTTATAATAAAAGAAGGAAGACTTGTTAATGCTTACTGCCTTCTAGACAACCATAACGCGTGCAAGCTGTACCGAAAGGCAGGGTTTCACAATTCTGGAGAAATTGCGTGGGTCTATTTGAAGGCTAAATAAAGTGGATTTGAAAATATTTGTCATTTGTTATTGGTCCGACGGCGGTCGTGTTGACGAGAATATGTTTATTATTTTTTTCATTTTGACACATTTATATTAGATTGCAAATAATCACACATACCTAGTTACTCTTTTTGAGCTTAATCTGTCAGTTCGGTACCTTACTGTAATCCCTAATACTTAAAAGAAAAACATAAAATTACAACTTTGGTAAAAATCTGTACTACCTGACAGGTGTTTGGGCCTAATGCATACGAAACCCTTTAACATTTATAATTATGTGGCGTCACGTACAAATGACCAAAACACAATTACGTACCGCTGGCCTAGAACAGGAGAAAGAACAAGGTGGTTTTAGTCAGTAAGAGTCTAGTTCTCCCTCCAGCCCCACCCAGGGCGGGTAAAGACATTTGAAGATTTTCGCCCTTTACAACAAAAAGCAAACATACATAAGACACTTTCCACCCAGCGCCTTAACATTCACAACCTCTTACTAAAGACACTAATCACACTTAATGGAACACAGAAACAACATAAATTAATCAATAAAATAACAATAATAAGCCTCCGTCAGCATTTTATTGTTTTGTTACGACTTTTATGTAACAGAATTACGCGATAGTGTAATCATTCACTAAATTACTCGGAATTAACATATTAGTATGTTTTTATATGTTAATCATGAGGTAGGCGTAAGATTTATTACAATTTTATACAGATTTTTGTAAATAAAGATTTGTCTAAATACAAGACGTGTGCCCAATCGTTTTTTTGAACTGTTTGGCTGTTGTTAAGATTGCATTGTGCTACATAAGAAGTTGTGAGTGAGTTTGTAGTAACTGGATTGTCATCGCTATCTTCATCTGCTGAAATTGATTCGGCCACCGCTTAACAAACATTTATCACTTATAAGGGTTTTTATCTTCTTAATTCTATAATATTCTGTCTCATTAATCAGACGGAATTACTGATAGTGGATGACAATTTACAAGTGCGTTGCCAGCTTTTCGGGCCATGTAAGGTGTTTTATAGATTTAAGAATTGGAGAGGGAAGGAAGGAGGGGAAGGATCGTAGCGTTTACATCGTATAAGAAGTGGCTTTTTTGGCCAATTAACATTATCATTAATCATCTAGGCCCAGGGCGGGCTAAAAAGAAACCCGTTCCTTCTGATGTTTAGACCGCAGTATAGCCTGTTTACGAAAGTGTCTTAGGAAGACATTGAATTGGATAATAATAAGAAATTGCGATAACAAAAAAATTATACATTTTCCATTTAAAAAAAGGTTCAGGTAGAATACCCTGTGGCGTAATGTCCAGCCTTGTATCATTATGTTTAATAAATAAAACACATTAAATTTTTTTTGACTATGAAAATCAAGGATAGTGCAACTCCATGATAGTCCAAATACAGACCCTGAAGTTAATTGTTTAGTGCAGAAACTCTCAGATTAACAGATTACCTGTTACTATTTTCTTAAAGCTGATAAAACTTAATATCAAAAAGGTACATCACTACGCAGTACGCACTTTAAAATATTCTAACGATCTAACAAATAATGTGTGTAGATAAAAAAGCAAAAAGCTAAAGCAAAAAGGAAAATATAACAAAAAACAAAAACAACACGCTTACGTCACAAGAAAACGGACGTCATTCCACTTTCTAGGCCTCTCGAACTACCCACGTGCATTATTAATAAGACCTCTGCCCTACACGTAATTACGTCATCGAATTTTACGACAATATCAGCTAATCGTGTCATTGGAGACCATCGAGAAATGTGAGATTTGTCAGCCGAATTCATTAACATTTATCAGATGGGAAAGGTCAAATAAACAACGTGACAGCTAAATGGTTTGTTATTGTTTGAAGGGGTAGGTTTAGATGCCATTGGTGCATTTATATATTCTTTTCCTTTTGAAACATGTTGCCCCACACTAGAATTTTCTCCTGTGTCGTGGGTGCGGTTATAAACATACAATTTCACAAACACATGACACCCAGACCCGGAGCAATAATCTCTATATCCGGAACACACAAAGAGTTGTTCCGTGCGGGAATCGAAACCGCGACACGTTGCCAGTTGCCCAGCCATCGCACCAACCTTGCAGTCAGTATGGCAGCCAATATGTAGGAATATTGAGTACTATGTGTGGAGAAAATAAATAAAATATAATTTGGAAACAAAGCGAACCTTGCATTGACATGTGCATTACAATCAGAACATATGAAAGCTAAAATTTCATAGACAAGACTGAAACCTAGACAGAGACAGCCTACATAAAGTTTAGTTGGCGTTCCATTTCAATAATTTATAATTATTTCAATGCTAATGCACGGTTGACTAATGTGGCTGAGCAACCGTAACATCTCTTTGTTTGAACATCAGATTGTATGTCTATTAACACACCAACGACACAGAAGAAAATTATAGAGTCCTATTGACGAGCAGTATTTCTCTACTTTCCCGCAAAATTCTATCCTTCCAAACAAAGACGGCCTATGCGATGTGTTACGTGTTCACGACAGATATTGATTAAACCAAGTCATTTTTAAAAACCACCGTAAAAGTGATTCTAGAAATTGCACTTTATTACAAAAGCTTTTCCGACTTTTTTCCAATGAAAAGAAGGGCGTCTCGTAATAGGTACCAGCGTCAATAAATACATCATGGCGACGAATGTGTCGCGTGACCCAATATCTCTATTAATACCTAACTAAACAACGTGTTTTATTTGTTTATATCGTTGATTTCTTACTATTCGTATTTTGTGTCATATCGTGTTTTAAAAGTGATTATTCGTTTAGTTAATTATTGCTTTGGTGGATTCTTAAAAACGTTTTCGCTCCAAGAGTTATCATTCAAACTTTCAAGTCAATAATCATGGAAACAACTGAACCGTTTTTCGTGAAACTTGGTACTCATACGCAACAGAAAAAGGTTCAGAATTAATTATTTTTATTTAAAATATTCGTTTGTCGAGCAGTTATTCGCAATTTTGCGTTATTCTAAACTTAAAGTGGTCTCTTTCTGTCTCTCTTAATTCATTTTCGAAAATAGCTGGAGTCAGTTTTTAGACCATAATATATTTCGTACCAATTAGTGACTTTTTTTAATTCCTGTTTATACATTACCTACTGATATATGTCAATCATAATTATATATTACTTTGTCTATAAATCACATTATATCAAACCTCCTATTTCGCAGTTTGACACAAATACTCTATACTTAAGCGAAACGCACGCTAAAAAAACTTTAATATTAATTTTATTATTACCTGTTATAAAGCTATCAATTATTTTTTACAAGCTTTACATTTTAGAACCATTAATCGGCGCTCTAATAAATACTGAATCAATATTTAATGTCATCTGCAATTAAAATTTGTATTCATATTTAGGTACTTAAATTCTATAATCTAAAATAGTACAAAGTGGTACTATGAGAGATAGCTTTCAGTTCGTGTACTGCTTATCTCACCTCAATCCTTGTTGCACCCATAAACCGGGCTGACCATCAATTTTACGAGACACTTCCAGCACGAGATACGGCCGCCATTTGCTATAAAACACGTCATATTGTACATATATTGTCAACTTTGTTGAGACAAAGACTTTTGGAACATGTGCTTTTGACCCGACTACGGCAAAGCAAAAGAAGGGTTATGATTTTGACAGGCTATGTATGTGTGTTCAACTGTTCCCTCGTTACTTCTAAACTACTTATCAGAATTCGGCAAATGACATATCATTAAAAAGTCTTAATTGTCCGCTGTTTATATGCTATATGGGGTATCACAAAATCTAGTGTGGCGTCTTCTAGCGGTCAAAGCATTCAGAGTAAAAAAATAAGCTAGGTGCAATAAGTTTTTGTGGTGGGATAATTATCACAATATGACTTTTTTATGGTATAAGTCGGAAAACGAGCAGACGGATTACCTGATGGTAAATAATCGGCGCCGCCCATCGACACCCGCAACACCAAAGGTTACAAGTTACGAGTGCGATGCCGGCCTTTTGGGGATAGGGGTTGCGGATTATAAGGATACGTACGATATATATAGGATTTTAAAATATACTTTTATTGCCCTGGGTGTGACGACGATTGTCAGACTCTTAGGAACTCGAACTAAACCACCATATTCTGCTGCTTCAGACAGAGGCCTCGGTACACTGTTTTAAGGTAGGTACCCTTTTCGAGCCCCAAGGAAGCGAGGGGGACTGTCAAACTCTTACTGACTGAAAGCTAACCTTGGGGTTCCGTATCTCATGTGGACCTGCGGGTGCGGGAAGCTAGGAGCAGCCAAGACTCATGGAGGCCTGCCATAATAGGCAGACCTTCTAGAATGGCGGAGTGAAGTGGTGAATCTCCGCCATGACTCGTCTCGAAGTGGTACGTCCGTCCTATACCGATGAAAATAACAAAAAAAAAATTAAACACGTAAAATCTTATAAATTTTCCCATTCCATGGGGATACGAAAAAATCTTTTCATAAATACCTACTACCATTTCTATAAAACAAACTGAATGCGAGTAACTATCAATCAACTCGCACTATACTAAAACAGTTTAATAAATCTACTTTAAAAACAAATCTGAAGATTTTTATTCGAACTAAAAGCTATTTTACATATTCATAAATCACAATAGATGTGAAATAATTAATAGAACTAACAAAAAGACATTGGATCTTTCATCACAGCATCAAGAATTTATGCTGATGATGTGATGAATATGTTTATATGTGTGTATGTTTGTTCGTTATTTTAGAGGATAATCACACCCAGACCTGAAACAACATTTTGTGGGTCAAAAAAGAGTTGTTCCGTGCGAGAATCGAACCAGCGACACGTTGATCGGCAGCCAGTTACCCAGCCACCGCGCTAACCGTGCAGTCAAATTTTTGCACATCTTCTGGTCGACAGGCTCTGGTTCCACTTTTTGTTGGTTCTATTCCCACAAAAGAACTCTTTTTATGGTCCACAATTTCCAGGTG